AATACCAATTCTTTCCTTAGTCAAAGCTTACCAAGACACACTTCACAAAACTACGATTTAATTCCAACAATAACAGTTCTTTTATGATGTGGAAGATCAAACAATGTTGCAACCACAGAGCATACTAAGAACTTTATTATAAGTACAACACCGTAGTATCCCAGAGCTCACACAATACTCTGATACCACTGTTGGAAAATAACCTCCATAATTTCCCTCCTCCGTGAACTCAAAATAGGCACTAGACGAAACGTGAAAAATATATAAGCGCAATGGCACAAAAGAATTTTAGCGTGAAAAACCTTTTCAATATGAGAAAGAAAAAACCACGGAACCCTTAGGCCTCTTAAACTTACACTATAATAATAATGGAAATACAACAACTTCACCCTTAAGTGGATCTCACTACAATGTATCTCTCAATTTACAAGAAACACTCTCACAAATTGGCTCACTATTTCTCTCACAAAGAAACTCTATGAAGATTATTTTTCTCTCTTGAACAAGACTCTCTTTCTCTCTTACTTCTTGTTGTTCTACTCTTGTAGTTGTGTGTTTGAATATTTTGTTTATGGTTCTATTTATAGGAAAAGCAAGTCAAAGGTGTCTTACATGCATAAAGACACTTGTCTTTTGTCTTTCATGCAAATGACCAAGTGTCCTTTGCAAGACATGCACCATAACAAGTATTCTTTGCAAGACATGCATTATAACAAATATTCTTTGCAAAGTATACAGCACACCATGTGTACACTATATATCTTTCTACTTGTCATCACATGCAACCTTCTATTTTATCAAATGTATGTTGGTCATGTGAAAATAATTGAACCTCACATAATGTTGTAAAATGTGTAGATGAAATTGATTTTCAAATAAAATTACAACATCCTACATTTAATTTAACTTGTTGAGTTAACAATAGTCATAACCAACTTATCAAATTAACCGAAAACACAAGTGTATGTGCGCGTGTTTTTAAAAAAATATGAGCCAACAAGTTAGAACCAAAGCACATATTAATTGGGGAATTATCTAGCACAAAACAAGTTAAAAGTGTTAGGATTGAGATTTGCTCGAAACATGAACACGTTTTTATGAGAAAGTTGGCAAGAATGTTTGCAACCGTAAACAAGATCACATTGCAAAATATCATGTGAATTTTTTGACATATAGATGCAGATAGCCTGACTTTCCTTTCATATATGAATAGAACTTTAACACTTCATGCTAATCTTCATTTCTTAATGAAAAAACCATAAATGAAATTGAAGGTATAGAAATTCACACTTGTCACACTCACACATAGATTTCAAACTCAAATCACATTGTACTTATGGTTAACTATCTGGTAGTTTACTAAGAACCCAGTGCTCTGGTTTATGCTCGCATTCGAAGTCTACATGAACAAACGCTCGCTCAACTTCCGGAAGTCTCTCAAGCTTTATTTGCAGACTCTCTCCAATGATATGTGCTTCTTTCAATGGTAAATCCTCAGGCAGTTCAATGTCAACCTGTTTGTCAAATTAACCAAAATCGCGGAATAAAACATCTTATCTTTGTCATCGAATGCTATAGAAATAGGAAACTCAACTCAGACTCGAACTATGATGGTCTAGTAGCACTACATACCTCGACAAAGTATAGAACTCCGAACGAGTAAGCGCGAACAGTATCTACACGCTTAATTAGAGAGTGCTTTACGACAAGATATGTCAGCTTCTGAAGAACTTCAGGAGGTGCAGATTTTCCCACTAGCGAAACTGCATTAGAAAAAAATGTATCATAAATCAATATTTATTCGCCACATTGTTTGCATATAACAAAAATTATATTCTTCTTTCTACCTGCGTTTTCCATAACAGTGCCAGACCAATTTAAAATAGTGTAGATTGCAAGTAGAATAGCGCCGATAGAATCAATCCACCAGTAAAATTTATCGCCAAGAACTGCTGCAACGAGTCCAACCACATTCGTTACAACATCAAAGTGATGATCCTGCAAGTAATTAGCATCGGTGAGAGATGGCAACTGAGATTATTTTAATTCAAGAGCAATTTATCGATAAATAAGGCTACTATACATCTGCATAAGTAAGCACAATCTTGTTTCCTGAGGTTCTGCAGTAAAACCAAAGTGCAAGCTTCACCGCTGTTGCAAATATCATGATAGAGTATAACCATAGTAGTTGATCATAAGACATCTTCTCAGAAGGATTGTTTTCTATCAGTTGTTCTACTGCAGTCATTAACACCTGAAAGCCTGTATCAAAATGGTCTTAAGATGTCATCTACAAAGAAAAGAACATTTTTATGAAACAATTGTCTCACACACGTGTTTTATGAGTGTCATACGAGAGTTCTGACACGAAATCTAAGAAAAAATTATTTTTTGACAGGACACTTGTCTGACTTTTCCGACGCGTGTTAGACACTGCAACACGTCTACTACTAGAGGTGTAGAGGTGTCTGTGCGATATGTTTGAAGGGAAGTAATATAGATAAAGTGATTTGGACACACCAAGTGTAGCCATGACAGCTGCAAAGATGATGATTCCCACCGGCTGCATTCTCAACTTTCCAATAGGATATTTATACATATTTATGTTCTTCATTGAGAGATGAGTGAACCAAAGTATGCCACCAGCCATGAAATCAAGCAGAGAATCCAATGTTGAAGCAGCAATAGCCATAGAACCAGTCCTTACTGTCACATAAATCTACATATGTATGGTCAGAAAAAAATTCTTAAAACTTGATTGAAAATTTAACATAAAGATCTAATTTCTATATCACCTTCAATGCCAATAAAATTATATTTGCATAGTTAGAAATCTTCATCGCGCGTTCATGTTGAGCCTGTTTTTCTATATCTTCTGCCTCAACGGATTCCCACATTACTAACGAGTCAACTTCTTCAAAGGATTTTAGAGTAGCAAATTGTCTTTCATAGTATTCTTTCTCTCCTATAAATGACGAGTCACTAAAAATTCAGTATTTTTCATAGTATTCTTTAACATTCGGATGAGAAAAAGAGAGAGAATGAGACCTTGGCTTAAGGTGGTGGATGTGGAGGAATGAGGATCAAAGTGAAAGGAAGAGTCAGTGTGGATGACCAAAGAATGAACCTTATCAGGTAGCTTGGATAAGAAAGTTGTTGTGACTGAGTTAAAAGAGTTCGGATTATGATTCTGGTTCTCTAGTAATGGTGTTAAACTCGAATTTCCCTCCATAGATCACTAATGCTACAGTATAGTGTATTACAGTATACTGGTCAACCCAATAATAAGAAGTATAACTAGGCTTTACATTACATATTTATCAAAATAATGTCTGCGTATACTTTATTTTGAAGGATTTTTTTTCAAACAGTATATGTCATTAGGCAGTGCACAAAATCATGCCGCAAGTGAAACAATTACGAATGGAATGTATGACCAAGTAGACATGTCCCCCTTTGGTTTACCTTTTAATTTATAAATGGGTTTTCAAATATGTATTTGGTTATTGTATTGTTTGGAAATCAAGTTTAAAAGTAATTTATATACATTACACATAATTACATTTCAATCTATCAAACCGCCTTTAAAACAAAGTGGTAAGGATTCTCGCATTTAAAACGGACAATGTCTCAAAACTGCATTACCGTAGACCTATCGATTGAAATAGTTATTTATTTGAAATTGTCAATAGAAGAAAAAACATTAACCAATAAAATAAGGTTTAAGTTTTATTTTTTTTAAATTATAAAATAAGATTTGGTTAGCACCGATGTACACATAATGAAATATGTAGACTTTCTTTCATTTTTTTTTTTAAATTATAAAATAAGATTTGGTTAGCACCGATGTACACATAATGAAATATGTAGACTTTCTTTCATATATGAATTAATCACAAAAATATTTTTTTTAAATTAAAATGGGATAACTGACTAGACACATAAAACTAGTAGATATGTATTATTCTAAAACAACCAAGCATGCTAATTGCCACATTGCATTGCAATATTTAAAAAGTCGCGGTAGCAAGGTATTATAATTTAAACCTCTAATCTAATTGATATAATAACATTTGTATTTAGAAAACTAATTTTTTTGAACCCGTTCAATAGTGGCATTGAACTCAACATAGCTTATGATTCAATCGATGTTGAACAAGTAATATCACTAAATACAAACTTTAGTTCTGTGTATGTGGCAATCATATTAAGCTACCATAATTTTGCACTGTAACTTCAACGAAGTCATACTGATATCATAATTTTGTTAAACCTATGCGATTCCAAACATAACTTTAAACAGAGTCTTGACGAACTTGATAGGCAGAACTAGGAGGTGCAGTTTGAAGACTTTGCACCACCAAGGTGTCCCTCAATGGTTCAGATTGATGCGTCATTTGAACAACCTTAATTATGAGATATAGTGAAATGGAAAAACTAACTACCAACTTTGCAGTCAAACAGTTAAAAATTTGTCAAACAGTTAAATTTTTTTTCTTTTATCTCTTTTTTCTTACTTCTTTTCCTACATCACTTTCTTTCATCACATTAATTAAAAAACCAATTGGTGATGGACATTCATTTAATAAATGAGATCATTTTATACAAAATTCAATTAAATACTGCATATGTTATCATGGTTTACGTATTGAAAGAATCACACTAATTTTGTTTTAGTGGTAGAGATGCATAATTAAAAAAACTAATAAAAAATAGTTGTAATTTGAGAGTGATTGTAACATTAAATAAAATCATCACATACTCAATTTATTTTGGCACACATCATAATCTTATTGACAGTATATATAGATTATCTTTGGAACACGAAGATAAGACGAAGAAAACTATCAATAAAATCCATTATAGTTGAAACAGCAAAATCTCAAATGTCTCAACCAAAGGGCAGGAGCTAGTTTCACCAATGTCACATTATTGACAAGCTGAACAAAAGTAAGAACAACAAACTTGAATACTATCCAATTTATCCCCCTCGCATGAGCTCAGTACCTGTGGTGCAGCTTCTCTTGTTCCACAAAGTGCATAGCATACCTGCATTCATATTGAGATAGATTAAACATACAAATAGGGATGACAATCAAGCCCTTACCCAGTGGGTACCCGCAAAAAAAAAAAAACAACAGACAGGATAAAAACCCACAAAATGGGTACGGACATGAGCATGGACGTGGATGAACAGGTATGTGCATGGTCACAGTAAAAAAATAATCAATATTTCTCATGACTATGTGAAAATATATCATTTTCCCTATTAATATTTCAGTCAACCAATGTTAAAGTGCACAAAGGGCGTCATTTAGTATGATACAAAAATAAGTCTCGACTCAACACAACTGATTAGTATTATTCACTATCCAATGACCATGTAATATTATATCACTAATTCCTTGTAGACAAAAGAGAAAAAATATGGCTATCAAATTTGGCTTGTTACGCAACAACTTTTTTTTTGCTTTCCCACTCTGGTTCGCAGGGGAATGGGGCCCTAGTAGTCCAGAGCTCGTGCCGAGAGATACAGGCACTGGCCAAGTTTTTGTTCCCACCTAGGAATCAAACCCGGTATTCCCCGGATTGCGTCCTTAGCAGGAGTTCCTTTACCACTGAAGCCCAATTGCTTAGTTAACTTAACTTACCACCGGATTGCAACAACTTAACTTATTCATAACAAGAACCCTTTTATTAACAAATGGGCACTTACATCACCATTAACGCATGTCCCACAATTCTGACCCTGCTATCACATTTACCTATTCCCAGACAAACATCAAAGGTGAAATTCCACATAACCAAAGCCTCTACCCTTTTTGGATCTATTCTGTTTCTCTTCAAAAAATTTAAGGAGCATGTGCTCCAATTTCTTTCACACTGTAAAAAATTAAAGGCTATACAAGAAATTTCAGGCACCTTTTAGACTATACAAGAACCTTTTGGATGCATTTTGAGACTCATGATAATGACATATATTACAATGTGTTTGAATATGATTTCTATTGGATATCATTTTATGATCAGCATATTTCCACTTACAATCCCAAAAATACTCCAAACAGAATCATAACATGCAGTTCGACATCAAAATTACAAGAGGTATCAAAATATGAAGCCCGGATACCAGAAACTCGACACTGATCAGGTCGACACCAGTAATAATTTGAAAAAAACGAATAAATTAAATGTATTCACATGCGTGCTACAGAGACATCAAGGAAGCAACAACAAACACATAGGAACCACTCCATACAATACTGTTCAATTCAGTGTTCATTCAAATATATTTTCTCCGCTCTCCTAGCAATTCAATCCTAAGATCAGAAAATAAATACAAGCCACAACCAGACTCAACAAACAAACAATAACATAACATTTTTAATCTAAAAGAAAATAAAACTAAATCAGGATCTGGCAAAACCCTAGAAAATAATCAAGATCCAAAGCATTCAAAGCCGCAAAATAATTAAGATCCGATAAATAATAAAGAGAGATGAAGAAAATTACGAGTAGGTGCCGACGACGGGAGTAACCAAGAGAAGAGCGCTAATCCAATTTTCGGAGACCTTGTGATGAATTTTGGTTGGCAAATCCTTCCACAAACCGCTCATGATTTTCTGCTGGAAAGGAGAAAGAGCGTACACAACGGATTTCACCGGCACGATGTTTTTCCCCATCTTCTTCTTCTTCGATTGGTTTCAACAAAAAAAACGCTAAGGAATGACGAACCAGAATGATAATGAGAATGCGTAATGGAAATAATACCCTACCGTTTTTTGTTGGGTTTGTTATTCGTAGCTATTTTCGATTGGACCGGGTTTGGTTATTTCCTTCTACTTTAACCCGAGTCCAGTCCAATATGAGAAAATCTTATCTCATACCCCTATTTTTATCCCCATACCCCTATATTTTATAAAAAATATCAATTATTGTTATGACATAAATTAAAAATATAACATTACATAGAATACATTTAACGTAAATTTAACATTATATCAATTGACGGTTGAGAATGTTTCAACATCTTTAGAATATCTTTGGTCAATCTCACAATTTTCTCATCCACCTCAATCAAATATTTTGTTTCGTAACGATGAAATGTATTTCACATAATAGTTAAATCTTTATTCGTGTTCAACTTAAACTTATTGAACTGTATCTTCTCTTCGTTGTCAATCAAGGGTGAACTATAATAAAGCTTCACAACTCTTGATTGTCTGGGTAGCACGATAGGTTCTCTAGTGTAGATTTTAGATCGACAAGATGGGTTATATATGTGAACCTAAATTTAAGATGGTTGTGATACGGTGGGAGAACTGACTTGAGGTTTTGCGTTTGTATTCGCACTTGTTCGGTTTAGCAAGAGTCGCCACCGACTTTTTATTTTATCCTAAGGAAAGGTTAAAAAGCACAGAAAAAACCTTTGAGATGTTTTCTTGGGTTCGGGGAGTAGATTATAGAAAGGGAAGGTATTAGCATCCTTTCTATCCATGGTTATCCATGGACTCTTAGTTACTTGCTTATATCACTTGCCTTTGCTTTTCAATTGTTTGAAATGGTGCTTTGTGTGTGTGTTTGAAAATGTTTTGAAAAAGATGCCTTGTCTAGGCAACCATTGTAACAATTCTTGTTTGAATGTTTTACAAGGGTGTTTGTCTTTTTGAAAAGATGTTTCAATGTTTTTGAAAGTTTGTTTTGAAGTTGTGATGTGTGTTTTGAAAAATGGAAAGGATTGTTTTGCAAGTTTGATCAAGTAACTAAGAGCTATCTACTCTAAATTTCTCAAAGATCTTTCTCATGTTTTAACCCTTTTAACAGTGTTGTTTCACCATTGTATTTGGTGAACAACCTTGTGTTAGGATGTTTAACGGGACAGGCGCGGGTCATCGTTTAGATCATGAATGCAATAGTGTCAAGTATTTTGGCAATTTTCTTGAGGGACTATGATCATTTTGTCTAGGCAACAAGATAACGTCATCGAGGGACTACGATCATTTGATTTGTTTTTGTTTTGCCAAAGACACTTGACATGCAAACATGACCCATTTTTGAAGGCAACAAGTGGATGTAACCCTAGGGGTATGAGTGTGCACTGTGTTCATTTTTCATGCATGTATCTTTTTAATTAGGTCAAGCTATTTGTTGATTGATTTTGCATACAAACCCTAGGTCTATCATGGCATAATTTGGAAACTTTTAAATGTGCGAGAATTTAAAGTCCTAAATTATTACAACATGATTATGGGGATGGGGATACAAGTTTGAATTGGAGGATATTTGACAAGGAAATAAATGCTAAAATTATTACAACCATATCGAATATACAAATTAATATTTGGCATTTAAATAAATACAATTAAACAAATATCAAAATGCAATGTATTATGCAAAAAAGATTTGTTTATGTATGTGAAAAAGGTTTTCATGTTTGAAGTATAAACAAAATAAAAAAAGTCATTTTTTTGGTTATTTTTGTTGTTTAGGGCAAAACCCTAGTTTTTGAATAAATAGTATTATTTATTAACTATGTACAATATATATTAATTTATACAAGAAAATAAAAAGTATATTGTAAAAAGTATTTTTGATGTCAAATATTAAATAAAAAAATGAAAATGTATTATTTCTATATTTTTTGTCATAATTATCTAATAAAATGAAATATATATATATATATATATATATATATATATATATATAAATATATATATATATAATATATATATATATATATATATATATATATATATATATATATATAATATATATATATATATATATTATATATATATATATATATATATATATATATATATAAATATATATAATATATATAATATATATATATATATATATATATATATATATTATATATATATATATATATATATATATATATATATATATATATATATATATATATATATATATATTATATACTATATATATATATATATATATATATATATATATAATATATATATATATATATATATATATAATATATATATATATATATACTATATATATATATATATATATATATATATATATATATATATATATGCTAAATATGAACAAAAATAAAAATATTAATTATTTACAAAAATGTATATTTTAGAAAATGTTTTCAAAATGTAAATAAAAAATAATAAATATTTTTTTGTATTATTTTTAGGGTTTTAAAATGAAAAGGAAATATATTTATTTGCATACATATACTTAATAAAACAAATAAATACCAAATAAATGTAAAAAAAATGTGAAAAAATATTTTTAGTATTTTTTATGTTTGAGCAAAAAATATAAAGTCAGAATCAAAAGGAAAAATGCAAAAATATCAAATATTTCACATAATGGGCCAGGGGGGTGCAAATGGAAAAAAGGGGTGCAAAAAGCAAGCTGACTCAGGCCCAGTCCAAGCCAACTCTGTCTTCAACCTCCAGCAACCTTTTGAATCAAAAAACGCGCATTTCCTTGTACAACTACCATCTCCTGATTCCTTGATTTTTAGCCAAAACTCATAACACAAACATTGTAGAGCATCAAAAGACGAATTCAAATATGTAAAAAACTTGGATTAACTCTCAAAGGCCAGAGAGAATTTCTCTGGCCCTAAATTTTAACCTAATTTTTTCATCATGTTCATGGCTAAAATTCTCACAGCATGCTTAACATAAATGAAAAGTGACCACATGTATGGCTTCAGGGCTATGAGTAGGACATGTTTCATTCACAAACCTAAGCTTAACTCTTCCTAGATTGAGAGATAGAAGTCCATGATTTTACCTGTTTTAGCTTGAATCGTGTACAACAATGTGGCCAACTTCAATGGAGTTTGAGCTTCTGTATAGCTTGCCTGAAGTCCAAGGAAGCTTCCTCAATACCTGGCTTGCTTTGAATCAGCCTGTATCGTGCTATAGAAGTCCACCTGTAAAACTGAAAAGTGAAAATGGCAAGTGAGGTTAGAGGTGTTACAGCTTGTGTTTGGGGCTTGGAATAGTTTAGGTGGATGATATGGAGTGTGTTTGAACTTGCTTTGGCCAAAACGCACGAGTGAGTTGAGTTGTGCAACTCAATCTGCAGGGATGCCCTGTTTTTGCAGCAAAACAGTGTTTTTGTGTTTTGGGAGGTATGAGGGATGGTTCAATCGTGTTTTAGGCTTGGCTTGATGTATGGAAAATGTTTACAAGGTTTGTTCTTGGCTGTGTTGACAGGAAGTGGAAGTTGGAGTGTTTTTGCAATGTTTCTTCAAAGTGAAGAAAAGAAGTGTAAGTTCACCATGCAGGCCTGCACCACCCCTAATGTATGCTGCATATCTTGCCCTTGAGACTTGTAATTTGTGGACTCTATCTGGCCTCAAAGATCTGGCCCCATGCCTCAAGGATTCACTTTTGACATAAAGTGACATTAAGCCAAAAATGGGAACTTTGCTTTTTCTAGTTAGGGATTAGTTTTGTGTGCAATGTCCAAATAAACAAAATAATGCATTAGCTCAGTGGATTTGCATTCAATTAAGGAGTGTAAAAGGGTTTAGAGGCCTGCAAGCTAGCACAAACCAAGCTGATTTGAAAATGCCATTTGCTATGAACATATATTGGTCATGAACAAAAGTGAGTTTTGGCCAACTTTGCAAATTCGATTCTCTCTAACCACAAGGGTGTTTGAGAAGTTCTTGGACAATTTGGAAAGCTTGGAATGTGTAATACAATCCATATTTATAATGCAAATTGAAACTCCAAGTGGAACCATGTGAAAAATGGCCAAGAAGTTGGACAAAAATCCTGCCTAGAATAGGTCAAATTTCTTCTAAGTTAAAAGTGTTTTGCACCCTTGTTCCAAAAATCCTAACTTGAGATACAAGCTTCCTTTGAGAAAACTTTGTGAATCAAAGTTGTAGATTTTGTAATGGACTACAACTTTCATGTTTCAAGTTTCATTTGAATCCATTTGCATATTGTTGAAAAAATGGGGCAAAGTTAGGAAAAAATAAGAAAATTTCATAACTTAGAAAATTTCTAAGTTATGAATTTTTTCATTTTAAAACCCTAATTTGCAATTTTGGGTTTCTTGATGAACAAGTTTCATAATTTGACATGTATTGATGAAAAATGAATCTTGGCACTTGATTTTGACCAAAAAGTCAAAGTTTGACTTTTCAGTATACAGTCAAATTTTGATTAGTTGACTGAAAAATTCATCTGTCAATCCTATGCACTTGAGATATTTTGAACTTGTTGAATGGGTCAAGACAATTACATTGAGTCCTTAAGTCCATATATGAGCTTGTTTTGCCATTGGTTAGGTCAAACAGTCAAAAATTACCTTTGTGCAGTCAAAACCCTAAAAATGACCATTTTGCCCTTTTGGTGATCTGATCAAATTTCTTGGGGAGTTGTGATCCAAACTTGATCAAATGATTTATATGAGTTCATAATGTTGATGTGGGTCAAAAATCATGAGGTTTGACTGTCAATTGGCCACATTTGACTTTTTCCCCAATACAGCTGATTTCTAGGTCAACTGTCCAATTGATTGGGCAAAGATTGGAATCAAGGCTTGAAACTTGGTATGGATAAACTTGTAAGTACAACATGAAGCATGAAAGTCACTTTGGGCTTTTTAGGTCAAAACATCCTTGTGCAAACTCAAACCCTAATTTGGGTCAACAGTGCAA